GTCTTCTGATACAGTTACTTGTTCTCCTGTATCAGTACAGGCCATTCCTGCGCTTAGAGGAGGCTGCCCCTGAAGACCTGCCAGCTCTTCTGGGCTCTGTCACCTTCACAACTGCCTCCCACTGCTTCCAATTTAGCCAAAGACCTGTGGTAGATGCTGGTTTATATGACATTAACTTTGGGGCTTTTCTGTTGTTTTTTAATTCAAAAATTCATTTCAGTTGGGGAAAAAAAAATATGAGGAAGGAGTCAAAGCATATTTGAATGATAAACTCAAAATAAAATTTCCATAAAAAAGAAAAATTCCTTCTCCTGTATAGTGGCAGGAATATGGTGGGGGTTTTTTTTGGTTTGATATTCTCATTTTTGCTGATGGAACCAGAACATATTTCATTTAGGATTAGCATAAAGTAGACATTTTTATTTGGCCATTATCCGCTTTGGCCAGGTTTGTTTGCTTGATAATTTCAGAGTGATTTGAGTTCTGAAACTCAAAATCAGGCTGCTTTGTCTGTAGCTCAGCTCTGTCTTTCACTGCTTTCTGAAAATCTGTAAATGTGTTTTTGATAGAGAGAGGCTCAGCTCCAAATCATAAAACTAAATAACCCTTCAAACTTTGGGGAATTCAAATTGCCAACCAGACTTCAATCCTGAGTTTGGTAAATGTCAACACTGTTCCTTGGGCAGTGAAGCAGGGTGAAGGAAGAAGTGTTAAATAGGATGGGGAGCTGCCTTAATTAGTTGAGATAGGGAGCTGCCTTAATTACTTGATTTTTTTTTTTTTTTTTCTCCAGGAGATATTTAATTCAGGAGCACTTGGTTATTTCATATCTTGTGATTTAGCCTCCTAATCTGGTACTTTGGTCAGAGAGAAGCAAAAAGACAGGTGTTGATTAAACAGCATAGATGTTATTATGTGACTGCAAAAATGCCAGAAAGTTGTCCCGTTTTCACTCATAATTTATAAGTAATCTAGAAATACGCTTTGAGGCAGTGACTTCATCTAAAATGAATTATCAGTTCAAAGTGTATTAGTGCCCGGCTGCTGAATATCGCTTGGCATTAAGGGTTTCTTCATCAGCATTAATTGGATTAAATTACCTGCAGTGAAATATGAGCCCTTTGTGGAAAAACCATTCTTGTCCTGCTGGCTTTAGAAGAATAAAAAGGCGGGGGGGGGGATGGAAAAAGAAACCAAGAGGCGGTGTTCAGACAGGCTTTGTTTTAAGGCAGAATAGGAGCGAGTTTGAATGCACTGTGGGTATAAAATCGCCATCAGGGAGCGGTGAGCAGGAGCAGCTTTCTGGCTGGAAGGGCATTTTTGCTCTCAGACCTCTCAGGCAAAGAGCAAAGCCCCAGCCAGGGCATGACAGGTCAGGCACAGAGGGGGCTGGGGACCAGTGGCACCATGGGGCCACCTCCACACGCAAGCAGAGAGCAGGGCAGGGCAACCCGGGCTGGAGGGCAGAGTAGTGAGGGAAACGAAATGGCATCAGGACAGTGCAGGCACAGTGCTTCAATTACCCGCTGCCTAGGATAAGGGACAGTGACGAGACGGGGTGACTGTGGATGAGCATCTGCAGTCATGACTATTTGCTACTACTATTATGAAACTTGTGTAGTTTACATGGAACCAGTAACTTGATGTTTCGAACTTGGATCTGCTCTATGTACAAACAATATCTTCTGAATTATCCCACATATATCTCCCCAAATATCCTGGTTTGTTTTTTTCTATGAGTAAAATCTTAAGAGTCTATATTTGTTGCTCATCTTTACTACTGTGCTTTAACAATGAATAGAAACAAACCCCAAACAACATCATTCTGGTGCATCTTGATTACTGTTTGAAAAAGCTGAGGGCATGAACTCTGTTACTGCTGGGTGGTGTTACTGAAAAAAATGAGAAAGGAAATCTCCTCGCTAATAAATTGATGTTACCGTAACAGCAGTTGTAAAAATGGTTGGAGTGACCAGAGTTTTCACTCATTCTCTAGCAGAACGTAAACTTTCAGCAAGCAATTTAGATATTGCTAAACAAATATACTGGGTATGAATAGATCCAACTTGGAAAAAATTGTCTCTGTGGATAGAGCTCCATCTCACTACCCGCTTATTATTTGCTTTGTATTGACAAAGGGCAGGGAACACAGCTTGAATAACTGTGCTGGAGTGACACTCAAGAGCTGCCGGAATGGCCTCTTCTCTTGAATTGTTTTAGCGGAGCAGGAGCTGTGGATGGATATGGCAGTGTGCTCCTGGGCATGCCCAGTGCCAATGCCTTCCCACCACCCTTAGCAGCTACTGCGGACTACTGCAATGTTATGCAGCTAGATACACATTTAATCTAAAAGTATGATTGCTACCATTTAACTTAGTAGTTTTATTGCCTCGGATTATTCTGCACTGTAAAAGTCTGACACTTTGGGCGTAATATGTATCTTTTCAGGAAAGCCACCAGCCTTTTCTGTCATGCATGTTCATTTGCTACCGACAGGAATTTCATTACCTGTACATCAACACATGCTAAAAAATTTTGTTGTATAGCTGAGCATCTTATTTCATCGGTTAATTCTGACAACCTGATGCTGTCAGATCATCTTGAAGCTTATGAGTAATGACATCGAGTCTTGTGCACTTATTGGTCGGTGCAGGAAAACCTGTGAGTCTTTACTTCCGAATGACACTGTGGGATTAAACAACTGGCAGAGGTGAAGGCAGGCTGTAGAATGGAGGTTACAGAAAAATCATTAAATAAGATTGATAGCTGCCTGCTATGTGAAAATCAATGGGAAATGCTCATTGAGTTAATTTCTGTCCATTTCCTGCAATTTTCACATTCAATATTGCAATTAAACCACATTGCCAAAAGTCTTCACTCCTACCAAAAATACCATTCCATGAAGCCTCACCATATTAACTGTGAATCATCACATGCCTTCTTTCTGTCCATAACTTCCCCTTTTTCATATTTGTAAAAAAAAATCCCTAAAAAATGATGCATTCTGGCTCCTAGCAATTTCTGTCTGAAGTACAGAAGAGTAGCTGTTAGATGGGTACAGTGAATGTGCAAGAAATGGCTCTGTAAATCCAGAGGTGAAAAACAGGAGACAAACTTGCGCTACAAACACAATATAATTTTGAAATGAATGTTCATTAACCTATAGTTGGGTGAAATCATATTTAAGGTGTTTGCCTTACTAAAGGGTGTTGCTAATGAGGCCAGCTTGGTGGTAGCTGAGAACCCTATGTGTTTTTTCATGTATCACAGTTACTGAATTGGAAAGGGTTTGATTATTGCAGGGAACATTCACAAGTACTGTGGCTTGGGAGCTTTAATTTATATTTGCTTCTTTTACATCTGAACAACAGTTTCCCAGGGAACCAGGTATTGTCATTTGTGGGGGGGGAAAAAAAGAGATGAGCCCAGAGCCCAGCAGAGCAGTGATGGGCTTCTTTTGGAAACGGAGCTGGATGCACGCCTGTTGTACAACGCATTATAAGATCCTGGGTTTAGCTATTTGTACCTTTGTTTAACTGGAATAACTTATGTTGAAATATATTTCAAGCATACTTGCAAAACACTATCCCATATTTTGGACTGGTGTGGACATAAAAAGCGAAGTGTAGGAACCTCCAAGTTAAGCGACGCTGGGACCATGACTCTTGGATGTACTTTATCAATTCCCCTTACTCACAATTTGAGGTAATCTGGATCCTGCCATGTATGCCTTAAAGGTGCATCCCTTTTTGAAAATTGTGCCTCTACAAATGCTTTGGCAGGGGCGTGTTGAATCATCCAGCTGTGGTTATCTAAAGTGGCTGGGGTGCAATTTCTCCTCAACAAACAGAACTGCTGCATAAGGAAAGCTTTTTTTGTTTGTTTTTCTGACAATTAGAAATGGTGAGTAGAACTATGTGTGATCTGTAATAAAACCAAAAATATTTCCATGTTATGGTAGTAATGACACTGGAAAACCTTTGTTGAAATGATACATTTTTGACTAACAGTTATGCTCCCACTACAACTATTTTTGTCAAAAGCTAGGGGACCCAAAAACTAATCTTATGCATTTGCTAATAAATTGATTCATCTCTGGTCTCTCCCGTCTGTCATCTTTTTAGCTTGATTTTGCCTCCTTTTCTAGCTTGAATTCTTCTATCACACCGAGGTGGAGCTGAGAAGATGGGATTGGGCCCATTCATTGAGGTCTGCTTGCTTGTACTGAGCATGGGACAGGGAAAATAACTTTGCAGTTTGATTATTTTCAGAGTCTAATTTGGTGACTGGCTGAAACCAGCCAGCAGGAAGAGCTGCACAGCTTTCCCCAAACCTAAACTTCCAGATATCCTGTGATAGATATCTACTTTTTTCATCCAGCCTCATGTGGTATTTGGAGGTCAGCGGAATACATTCTCCGTGTGAGAAATGATCCAAACTTGTCAGGGCTTAGGTGCCAGCAGTTCCTTCTCTGTTAGCTGCAATGATCTCTTTGCACCAGGACAGCTCTGCAGGTTGTGCACAGGTTATGGGGATGCAAACTGCTGTGACCATGGGGCACTAGGTCCGTGTGAGTGATGGCCTTCAGCCAATCAGTCTCGGAAAGAGGCTTAAGATGGAATTCTCATAGAATAATTCCCATGTCTACTGTCTGAGTGTTGAAAACTTTGAACTTGCTTGAGATGGGCAATACTAATCTAATCAAGGGTTAGCAAGGGAAAAAGAGAAGCAAATACTCTTCTGTTCTACAAGGTGTCTTTCAGCAGGGTTTTTTTTTAATAAAACATGATAAATTTCCCAAAAGCCTGTATTCAAGAACCATAATATTTCTGTTGGAAATAAAACATAGTATTGTTTGAACTAAGAGGTTTGTGAAAAAGGGAAAAAATTTAAAAACTCGCAATTAGTTTGGTTTTTTGCTTGTTTCTACTTCAGGAAAAAAAAATAAATGGCCAGCATGAGCTACCACGACTTTAACCATGCCTTCGGTGTTTTTTCAGGGATTAAACATTTAAAGAGTCAGAGTGATTCAGCCTTTCCAGAAGAAGAAGAGGGCGTTAGTGAAAGAGAAGAGGAGTGGGGCCATTAAAGAGCGTGGAGCTGCCTCGAGCCCCGTCACGGAGAGTGACTGAACCGCGCAGCCATGCGTGCCTCAGCCCATTCGCCACTGCTTGTGTCCCCACACCACAGAGCTCGGTGTGACGGCGGCGCCGGGGCTCCCTGGGGAGCACCCTCGGCTGGGTTTTACAGCCACCTGCAAATGTGTTTTGTGATCCTTGTACCCGAAGATCAAACAGTTATTTTAAAGTAATTTTTCTTTCATTTTCTATGACTTAAAAAAATTTAATTTGCAAATGTGTTAGTGACCTGATGTCAATACTGCCAGAGCTTAACTACTGCGTGTGAGCTGTACTCTATGGCCTGTTGTAAATAAAACTGATTTAAAAGCTACAGAATAAATCATATGTTCATTTAGACAAGATTGCTTATTGTACAGTGGTTTTGTTTAGCACGCAGAGGAACGTTTGTATAAAAATGATCTTTTCAGTTAAGGGCAGCTTTTACTGGGACTGTTGGAGTTACTTGCAGTAATGTAGATAGAAACAAAGTGAGCAGAGGCGACTCGGTCTAGAGAAGGATACAAAGACATCTTTGCCCATCCTCTGGATAGGCAACGTATAAAGCACTTGTCTTGCTTTTAGTTTGAGGCTGCCAAGTCACATCACACAAAGTGATTTCTCTTTACACAAGATCATTGTTATCTGGAGGCATTAGAAAAAGTTTCAATTTGGGAGTCAGAGGAAACACAGGAGTGTGTGAGACCCATGAACAGGATCCATGCACCAGCTGAGCCACGGGGAATGCCAATATTCCCCTTTGTCACATGCAGCAAGTACAGGGTACAGCCTTCTCTGAGAAAGAGAACCAGTCTACTTTGAGTTTGTCACAGTTTCAGCCTGTAAATGGTAGCTTATCCAGCCGTGCTGATGTAGCATTTGTCTGAGCCACAGGGCTTTTGGCTGGTTCATGGTTCATAATATTTTCACTCTATGGCATAAAATGAAATAAGGTGGAGAAGGAAAACCATGTTTCTTCAAAATCACACTGAGAGATCATGTCCTTTTTTTTTTTTTTTATCAATGGCCAATTTTTAAGCAATTTCACTGTCAATTTTTATTAACTTTACCTTTGATACAAAGTTTTACCCTCAGTTTAAGGCTCTTCTAAAGGACTTATCTATCAAAAAAGCCAAAAAAAATCCCCCAAAAGAGATAAAGTGTATGTAAGCACACAGCCATTTGCCTATGCCTTGCATGGTGATTTCACTCTCAATCCAAAGTCTTCCATGAAGACCTGTTGAGAACAGGTCAGCAAGTGTTCCTTTATATTTGGGAGCCATCTTTTTACCCTCCATCTGTATCTCTGTATAGGTCCTCTTTGTTGTCATTTTCTGTAGAAACACTCCAAACAGGGTGTGTGGCTGCAGCTCAGCACGTCTATGCAAGAAGGACTCTCCAGTTGTACAGAACCAGCTACAGAACTTATGGGACTGAAGGCTTCTTATGCCACAAACAACAAAAAGAAGGAAATGACCCTTCAGAAACTGTTTAAATGGCCCAAAATTAAGGCTGAAATGGTAGCAAGAAGAGCTGGGCTCTGGTCCCAGCTTTGACACAGCTTTGATTCTGCACAGCACCAGGCTCATAGTCACTTGTTGCCGCAGTACTCTCAGTTGTAAAACAGTCATTGGTGTTTAACATCACACCAGCTATCTGTGTTGCTAGCTAATAAAGCACTTTTGATATTAATGGCTTTTTGCTAGTTATCAGCAGCCACAGGCTTCAGATGAGGACTGTCTAGGGCTTAAGGGCAAATGGAAAAATGTGCATGATTTATAATACTTGACACCAAGACAAGGTATTGAACACTTTGGAATCTCAACATTTCAAAGGCAACACAAAACATCTGATAAGAGCTTGGAGAATTTGTCACTGAACACCCTGTTTCAGGATGATTGCTGTACTTAAGGGTAATTACACTTTATAAAAAAATAAAATAAAAAAAAAACCAAAACAACAAAAAACAACCCAACAGATTTAGTTTGAACTGGATCTGAGTGTTTCCAGGATTGTTACTGCAGCACCAAGAAGACCACAATTCTGTGTTACAGCTGTGATCTGGATGAAACATCAGGGTCGGGTAAGAGCCTCAGATAGCCACGCCAGATGCATCTCTAAATACAGTTCTTATCATCTCCCCATCTCTAAATAATCCAGCTGTGTTTTATCATCTCAAAAGCCTGTTTCTTTCTCTCTTTCTTGACCCAAGGTTATGCAAGCAGCATGTCTGAGTACAGGAAGAGACTCCTCCTGTCTGGCAAAGGGACAGGACTTGTTGCAGAGATTTTACTATGGAACCACCCTGACATCATTTGCCAGTGGGACCTCATCTGAAGGACAAAGTCAGGATGCATAGGGTTTTTTTTACACATTAGCCATCTTTAGCTTAAAAAGATAAGCAAACCCTGTTTGTCTGATCTTCCACTTATGAGGCATACAGTAAGTGGAGCCATAAGGAAAGAATTAGTAAAACAACAAAGCACAGGATAAAAGTCCTTGTCATGAGGCAGAGCTGAAACACCGCAGTGGATTGTCTGTGAACCCTATGACAGAAATATCTGGGTGTGGGGAAATCAGAAAAGAAGGTCAGGAAAAGCAGTGTGCTTACTAAATCAGGTCTTTTCTGGGGTTTGGTGCAGCCTCTGACATTTATAAATCACAATCTTAGATAGACAACCTCTCCTATGCTTTGGTGTGTCTTTGAAAGCTCCGGCTGTCTCACAGCTCCACATGGGTGCATCTGAACGATGTAGGAGTCAGTGGTCAATCATTGTTGCCCAAGGTGTTTATATCATCAAACGCATGGGTAAAACAAACCAAAAAAACCCATAAATGTAATCTTCTCTTTCAGCATAAATGAATCATTAGGGGGTTGAGAGTATAGACAAAAAGTTAGTGAACACCAAGTGTCTCAAAGAAAAGTCCGATGTGAAGACACCTTAATGGAAAATCGCAATGACACGTTCCTTGTTTGAGCTGTTTGCTCTCTCAATACCTGCTGCTGCTGAGGATTCTTACAGGTTTGGTGGGAGGAGGATTTTTAGAGATGGGTTGTATTAGTACATTTTCCAGAAACAGGCTGATGGATAAACAAAGCAGAACAATACCTACCCAGGCAAGTAATGAACATCGTTCTTCCTCAATGAGCAACTCTGATTTGTGTCTTTTTCCCCTTGCCCTCCTTCATGTTCTTAAATCTACTTCCTTTCCATGCTGTGGTGTGTTTGCTGCTCTTCTTGCTTTCAAGGTATTGCAGGTAATGTTATTTGCAGAATTGAAAGGAACATGTCTCCTTGGACTGATGGCAGTCTTTTCCCAGTATCCCTTAACTCATTAATGCACAGTGGTTTAAAGGGGGTTTGTTTCTGCCTTTTACAGCCTTGTTTCTTTTTCTTATGCTGTACTACTTATTCCATGACAGGTTCTTCCCTTCAGAGAGATTTATTGAGACATTGTGCTAGTAAGTTATTTGGAAAAATTCTGTGGTTTGACTTACAGGATGCTATATGGTTTTTATTCTCCAGTATTATCTGCAAAAACAGATAATACTTAAATATATATGAAGTAAGAGACACGATTTGAAAGTCCTTTCTAAAGCACAACTTCCACTGAAGCAGAGGAATTTTGCTTGAGAATGGCCACAGGCTTTGGCCAGCAGCACACTTTCCTTTGAGGAAGGAAATACGATGTGTAGCATTCAGGAAAGCTTCTCTTAGCCTGCTATCAATTTAATTAATTAATTTCTTGCTTTTTTTTTTTTTTTTTTTTTTAAGATTGCCATAAATGCTATTGAAATCTTCAAAGACTACTCCACTCTCTTCTCACAATGTCATTATTTCCCCCCACTAATTTAAACTGAAACGTCACCATTGCTTCTTGCACCATTGGTGTTACTGAACCAAAACTATCACATCCAACACTATTGTGTCAGCTCTGAGGCAGGGCGGCAGGCAGAGGTCCTGCTGCCCGTGCTTGGGCCAGGGACTCCCACAGCATCCAGGGTTGAGGCCAGTCAGTAAGGAAGGGACCTCCAGTCTGTCTGCACTTCCTCTATAATACCAAGGGCCAGGTCAGTGGTGGCTTTTGCTCCTTAAAAAAATGTATTTATTTTATTCCACAAGGCAAATTGTCAGGTGTCCGTCTAAACTCTCTGCAGAGTTGCTCTGGGTAGGCTGCAGTGCTGTGGGTGGTTGGGGAGGGACCTAAGCGGGACTTGTGAGAGCTGCGGGGCTGCTTTTGTATGAGCTCAGCATCTGGTACTATACAATGAAATGACCCTAGCACAGTGCAGGGTTCCCCCCTCTTGTTTTCTTTATCTTACAGATTGAGACACAGGATTTTTTAAGAGGGACCTTATTCCTGCAGTACATAAGGCATCATCTATCCCCTCACCCTGGGGGTACAATGTAAGGGCATATTTAAAACATGCTGTCCCTAAAGCTCCCTTTTCTTCCTCTACTATGGCATCCATGCTGGTGCTCATGCCCACAGCTATTCTCTTCTTTTTTTTTTTTTTTTTTTTTTTTTCCCCTTTATCAGCTCAGTGCAACAGTGAGCTGCAGTAAGAGTTTCAGTTGTTCTGTTGGTATATGTGCAATTACATTTGACCTTTTCATGCAGAGCATTATACGTGGCAACAAAGTGGATGCTAAATGCCTCCTATACGTTGCAGTATTCTCTCCTTTATCCTTCAGTGAGGATAGCAGCACTTCGGGAAAATCTCAGGCAAGACATTTGTGTCTCTACTACCTCAGGCCACTTGATAAGGCACTGTTGATCTTCAGTTACAGCAAAGTTGGCTGAAGGAGTTTATAGGAGTTTAATGTCTTTATTTCTACTATAGGGTGGGATTTTTTAGGGTTATTTTGTTTTGTATTGTTTATTCATAGATCTGGGCTTTTGGGGGCAGAAAATAATATTTTGTACTACTGCTAGGGCAAACATACTCTGTTTCAATTCTGTAATGATTCATTTGCTTAGTATATAGTGACCCTTAGTGGTAAACTGAGATTTGAATTGCATTGCCAAGTTTCTAAATCTTGCTTTTTTCTTTGACCCAACTGTTCAGAAAATGGCCTGAATATTTGCTGTGCATCAGGATAGTCTATCTATGTAAATAGCCCACATTGCCTTCAACAGACATAATAGGCATGTTAAAATAATGACGACAGGTGTTATTAGCTCTTCTGACGGAAGGGCTGTGAGAAGCAGGAGTGTCGAAAGGTTATTCCAAAATGCAAAACAAAAACGTTGGCATCGAGAAGCAATACTCTCCACATAATGAGAAACAAATAAGAACTCAGTATCTGGCACTAACGAACACCTCAAGCTAACTGTGGAACGAGTATTAATTAGGTTTCCAAAATAGCATCTTTCTGAAAAGCAGCTGAGGTGTAATATTGCTCCTTATTAATCAAAGCAATGGGACAATGTGAACTCTGCAAAAATAAATGGTTTGCAGATGGCTGTGTGCATCTTTAATAACGACAGAAGAACACAAGTTACAGCTTTAAATGCCAGAGAGCCTTTCTGAATCTTCTCCTTTTCAGAGAGCGATATTTGCAGTTTTCAAGGCAGTGAGGAAAGTGTGTTGGTTTCTTATTACATTTTCCCTGCAGCATAAATTCTGTTGATGTGCTTCCCTAATCATGCTAATTATACTGCCATATGTTGCTCTCATCTTTCTTTTTCTCTCCTAATGGGACATAGATTCTCTCTTTTGAATATGTCATTTGTTTATTACATTTATCAAGGGTTTTAACATTATATGGGACTTTTAATTGCTTTTTTAAACACTCAGCAGATTGAATATTAAAACCAGACATGAAGGTCAATTATAAATAATATTTAAATTGCTCATGCCATTTTTATTCTCTAATTTACTGGAAATATCAATTCTGTAGTCCTCCTCCTGTACCTACTATTTATTTAAGAACACACACGTCTCCCAGAACTCTCTGGCTGAAGTCACAGTTCTGCCCTACCCCAAACCACCTTGTGACTAAGAGAATAGGGGTCCTTCTCAGGCAGGAATGCTAAAATAAAGATGCATTGTGCATCATATTACAATGCTTGACAGAAATATGCTGCCATTCATTCCAGTTGAGAACTACTGGAGTATCCCAAACAATAAAGGTGAATTTTCACTTCTGACTGGTAAGAGAAATACAATCCTCTCTCAAAGGAGAGAGGTCTCAAAGAAAAGAAAGCACAACTTCAATAAAATAATTTAAGATAGCTTACAGTTGAATAGTGCTTTGCACAGAGACATTAGACCCTGACAGTGCCCTACACTTCAGAAAACAATCAGTAAACCAGATGAATACAGAGAAAGCAAGAAACAACAAATTACTATCCAATTATCAAACTAATTCCTCGTATAATGACACCATCTCTCTTGGCTTTCATGGAATTGCATCATAGGTGAATTTGACCCTTTGGTTTATTGAATTTGGATGAAGAGAATCATATCAGGCTTTATACAAATAAATAGCAAATAATTTCATGTTATTTGACATTTGTTCATAGCATTATGATACAAGTCCCAAAGTCTTACTCTAATGAAAGTCCTTCTTGCAGGTTCAGGAGTGTTGCTTGTAAGTGCATCAGCATTAGGACCTATGTGATGATGAGATAGCTTTATAACTACAGTCCAAACGAAAAAAACATTCTGCTTAACCTGTTCCAGCTCAAGGCCCACAGTGTACCTACCATTTTGATTTTGACCACCTTATTTATATATAGCTTTATATTACTTCAGGTTTGTAATAATTGTCTATACAGGATGTTACAAATGAATAAAACTTATCAGCTTCAAAGTTCATATATGATGTAATTTGTCAGGAAATCATATTTGGTTAAGATACCTATCCAAGCTCAGCTAATGGAAAGTTCTCCCACAGTTCTCTACAGAAGGGCTATAAGCAAAGGACTTGCCTAAGCACAAGGGAAATATTTTGCACAAAGTTCAGCCCAAACCAGTTAAAATCTCAGTTTTTATAAGAGATTTTTCACATTTTTAACTTTGCGGTTATGAGTTGCTTCTTTTTTCCCAGGGGGCTATTAAGACATTCACAGTTTGATAAAACTTCTGAATGTTTGCCCTGGAACGTGGAAAAGGGCTCTCTGGAGACCCATTAAATAACTAAATGACCAGAAAAGTAAGATTATCCCAGGGAAGTGACTTAAATGTTTGCATAGTGTGTTTGACAGAGGACACTTTCTTTTCCTTATAATATTAAATGTCATTTCCACTCATTTTTCCATATCGCTTTCCAAGGATGTGATTTTTCAAAGAATGATTTTAAAGTGGATCCACTCCACTCTCAGATAAGCCTTTGTCTGCTAAACTATTGTGAATTTAAATCTCTTTAAACTGCTGTTGAAGAATGTTAGCTTTACTTACATTTTCCCCTTTCTAAAGTAGTAGCTATAGTCTGTTAAAAATATACCTTTTAGACAGTTACCACTTGATTTATTTGTTAATTTGAAGTTATTTTGGTCACAGTAGTGGCTTGTTTGACTTTGGGCATCTATACAACAGAACGTCCTTTCCTCATGTATCTGGGATAGCACCTGAGAAAAAGGAACTGCAAAGAACGATATAAAGTATTTTTCTTCATTTACTTCCATCACGTATCTTGCTAGGATTTGATACACATTTAGGTCAATGGGATTCTTTGAATTCATTTCCAATCTGAGTAGGAAGGGGCCCTGTTTACTCCCGGCTCCACTGAACTTGGATGATTAAATTTATACCATGCCATGGAGGTGCCTCTGAAAGACGTACCCTTCCGAAGAATGGTTGCTAACATGAACAGTCCCAGTGACTCCATCAATACCAACCAACAGTAGGAATTTTGGGGGGTAAAAAATGTTTTATTGGTTATGGTTTTCTTCACGTGAGGGCTATTTTAGCAGTAAAGGCTAAGGCAGCAAGACTCGCTTAAAGAAATTATTTCAAGAGTGTCATGAGGATGTGAGTGAGCTCACACAACAAACTGGCACAGCTACAGAAATAGTGTGGAGTCACAAATGAGTGAAAGGGTTGAAAACAACCATTTATGCTTTGTCACTTTTCAAAAACAACCATAGGCAAATGAGCAAAGACGCTACAGAAAAGCAAATTTATAACTAACAGGAGCTTCACAATCTTTGCCCTCAAATCAAATTTATTTGAGAATATCATCATAGGAAATACGGACAAATACAGCAGAATAAAAACACATAGTTGTAGATTGCCTTGTTGAAAATTAAATAAAAAAATACAGGCTAGATCATAACCCATAACAATATTACATAATATATCTGTCAGATATCTCGAGATAAAAATACAAAATAAAACTCTTGAGGGCTAATCTATAGCTACAGCTCCTCAGTGTGCTCAATGCAGGGGTACATGCCCATAATGCTGTGGGAGAGATGCATATACAAACAACACTTCTTATGGCCCCATGCAGTGTTTTGGTAGCGCAGCCTTACAGGTTTCAAAGATAAAGTGTTGTTCAGGGAGAGGCCCTTTCAAGAAGCTTTTCTGCCATCCAAACACGAGTTTCACCCAAGGTCAAAGCCTTAATTAACATGTGTTGGCTATATAGGTCTTCCATGAAATCAAATTTCTCCTCACTGAAACAACACACTAAGCTTTGGGTCATGTCCGGATAAAATCTTGCTACGAATAAAGGAAGAAAGAAAGAGAATCAGCTGGCATTAAAGAAAAACTAAGGACTCTTCTTCTCGTATTTCAGTAACAGCTACCACAGTGATTAAAACTGAATACAAATGAGCAAATAGGATTATTTATATACAAATCACATTTCTATATTAATGAATGAGTTCTGCAGGCAATGAGTGCCTCCCCGTAAGAGCAGGAGCTCCCTCAAGTTTCTGCAGTGGGTGATCTTGGTACCGGCTACAATAACAGGACACTGAGAGCCCCACAGGATGCTCCAAGGACTCTGCAGAATCTGTTATGGTTTCTGCTTGTATTTCCAGGAGAAAATTCTTGCAGAGTATATAAATCATGATAGGATAGTGACACAGAAGGAAAAAGTCAAGCTCAACTGTGGTAAAAATACGAAGTTGAAAATACAATAAAAACATTAAGTTCTGATTGCTCCAGACTTTTAGTGTCAGTGAATCATAAATTACAATGTTGAAGAACACTCTGTAACAAATGAATATCTAACTGGCTTAGTTTTTAACAATACCAGTCATCTTTTGTGTTTTTTTCAAATTTGGTGGGAACTGCAGATGCTCAACATATCTGAAATAAGGTCCCAAGTTCTCAGATGCTAAACAAGAAGATTTTCCATTTGCACAGCATATGGCAATTTACAAATAAAAAATAAAGTCTGATAACCGTAGTGTTTCTTCTCTTGTCATAATGACATTAAGAAGCCATAAAATGATTTACATTTTATTATAAAGAAAAAAAAAAAAAGTTCAACATTCCCAAAAAGGATGCAAAGATGCACAGAGTGATCTAGGCTACTAATGATTTGCTCAAACACCAGCAGAGAATATATAAATTCTTAACTCTTAGCAAAAAATATCAGTTGCGTTATAACATATATGATACAATTTCATCCGTTAACATTTCATTCGTTAACTGCACTGTACAGAAATTTGTCCATGCTAAATACAAGCCGTGGACCAGATACACAAAACAACTTAGATGCACTTTTTACATCCTATATGCACAAACATTTCTTAAGTTAAAACTATGCACACTACTTATGCATAGTCTGTGTATGGCTTACATATTCAATGACAGGAATTCCACCTTCTGGCATGCCCTTAATCCCAGGGCTCGGAGCACTTACTGTTCCCAGCTCAATTTCAAATGCTCCGCTGTCAGAAAAGAGACAGTCAACAGGTATGGATGTGTAAGGGTCCCTCCGTCTAGGGTGACTGGTTTATGACTCCTTCAATCCGGACAAAGTGTGCTCTTGTTGAGGTTGAGCTTGGTGCCTGTTGAGCTCTGGTTAGATCCCTGAAGCAGCACATAGGTCTTAACCATCCATCGGCCTCTGCATAGAGGGGATTGCCACTGGCCCCACAAGTCAGAAAAGACCACAGCTGATTATAAAGACTTTTTGGTCAGTGAGGTAATAACCACAGGGTCCAAAAAGGAGAACGGGGAGTGCAGCAACCCGAGCCACCCGAGTGACTACAATGCAAAGGGGAGCATGGAATTTTCCTTGAAGGTTCCAGCAGAGGGAAATGAGGTTGGCTGCAGCTGCATGGGACACCTAGGCAAGTCTGGAGGAGTCATGTGCATCTCGACGGAAGCAGAGATGAAAATGGGGTCTTTTTCTGGGTACAATTTGGGCTGGAGGACTCATTCTGAGGCTTCTTGCAGAGGTGGCTGCTTGTGTGCTCCATTTTCACTGCCTCTCAGAGAAAGATGCTCTGTTGTTTTCTTTTAATGAAACAAATGCTAGCAAGGATTTTACAGGATCCATGTTGTCACCTTTGCATTTGAGACAAACCGTGATATAAGGCCTCATTGTCACCTTCCAGTTCTGTCTGAGAGGCAACACAATATTTTGGTGAAGTGAAGCAATTTTCATGTATTCCTGTCACTGTCTCTTCCACCCTACAAAAAAGTAATCATCAGCTTCATAGTAGGGCTGACACCATTGCTGATGTCTTCCAAAACACTATAGGACTGAGAATGTTTTAATATTTAATACTGGATGCTATTTAGCTATTTTTAAAGAGGTATTTTGAATACTGATTTGTTAAATACCAGTTCTCTCCGTATGGCAGCCACCACAGTGGGGAAGAATCATCATCCACGCAGGCTGGTCAGTGTAACCCTACAACTTCCCTGTATGGTCTACATATTTATTTCCAGATATTTTAAGGAAGCTAACAAGTAAGACTTTTATGTTGCATGCAGCATAGTTGCATGAACAAGTATCTATAACAACATTTCATTTTGACTTTTCATTTCCATTGGAAGCCAGCAGCAGTGACACAAAACAGCAATTTCGGGCAGATGATAAATGTCATGGTTTCACATGTCTCATGGTTAACTGGAAATGTCTGGTGTCGGTGATGCTATAAAGCGAGGTCCAACTTTGGCTGAAAAAATTATTTTGGCTAGTTTAAGAAAGCAGAATAGAAGAGGAAATAGCAACAACGAATATAACTGAAATCTTGTGAGTTGTTAAGTGCCTTGTGTTTCCAACTCAGGGTTTTACGTTTTACACTTTTAATTGTTTTGTCCACTCTCCACAGAAACAGAATGATCCAAGAACAAGTTGACAGATTACAGCCTCTGAGAGCATGGGGTAGGAACAGCTAGAGTTCTTATTTTCTCCTGCAACAGAGGTCAAATGAAAATGAAACAATAGATTTTTAATACTACTACTTTCAGTATTTAATATACATGAATTGAGGATGTTTTATTGCATGATCATTTAGTCTGACATTAAGGATTCAGAGATGTAAAAGTATTGTTTTTCCCTTCCTTATATTGAATGGCTTTTAAGGGGACATGGAAAGTGGGGTGTACCATGCCCCATTTCAAAATTCTGTACAAAAATGACAAGTGGAATAGAACAAAGAGAATAATAATAGCACTAAACAAGTCTTCATGGTATAAAACTCTCCCCATAATAAGAAAGAAATGACAAAATTACCTGTCCTGCCTGAAACATCAGAAGCTTTTAAGAAATAGCAAATCTAGTTCTGTATCAGTGCTTCTTTCTGCTCAGTGGCTTTTACTATATCTTCTGACTTCTTACAGTGTTTAGGCTCACCTGGAAGGTAAAAAAAAGTGATTGGGAACCTGAGTGAGGAAGTTAACCAAGTTAAGAGACTCTAGACAGAGGGGAACTTTTTCCTCCTGACTTTTTTGAGATTAAAATGAAGTTTCAGTCACTAGCTTCTTTAATTGCTTTCTCATCAGAGTAAGCATAAGATTGAATTAAGTAATCATTATGGTTTGTCCATAAGGCAAAATATAGAATGAAAGCAATAGATCACAGCATGAAACAAAAATATGAAGACATTTACATGGGTAAGTGTTAATAAAGTGGGTTTGATTTTGGTTTAGTTTATCTTCCAACTTACTGACAGTCAAAACTGGCTTCAAATTAGGAGTAAACATCTCTCAGATAATGAAAGATGCCAGGAGCAATGACACTGAGTGACACAAACAACTTTCAAACGAAGAAATACAATATGAATTTCAAACTGACAATCATAATATTAAGTTGTTGCTTAAACTGTTCCCTCCAGTAACTTTGACTGAGTACAGCTGAGAAAATTATAAACTGAGACAGTAGGCATGGGGAGAAAGTAGGAAACACAGTTATTTACTAACTATAGAGTAACTACTCAGTTTTAACCAGTCGATTGAGTGATCCTACCAGTGATTAATAATGCTGAACTGAAAATGTGAAAAAGGAAAAGCACAGAAGTATCAATAGTAGAGAAGATGAACTGGGAGAAGCATGAAGCTTATAAAAATAAAAATACAGGCTGGGGAAGATTTTTTGAAAGCCGGAAAACAAAGGTACAAGCAGGTGAAAGGGAAAGCAGATGATGTGTGATCTGAAAGGAAAATTGAAAGACGGTGAGTTGAAGCTGAAGAAGAGGCTCACAGTTCAGAGAAGAGAAAGGGAAGGGAGGAAAGGGAGCTCATGAGAATGAAAATTAGGAAAGAAGAAAATTAATATCTATGAATTCGCCATGGCTCACTGTAAACAAGTAAGAAATGCTACTGATTTTCCCTTGTTTCATTGCCATGAATGGTGGTAGAGTGGGTGCTGCTCACTCAGTAATGTGGCCACAAGCAGATGGGCTATATTCCCCAAGCAGCATTCTTCACTGTCCCTCTTACTTTATGTAAATCTAGTGTAGGTAGAATATAGACAATCATTTCTCCAAAGGCTTTTAAAGACTCAAAGCTAGGCTCACAAGAATTAGAACGTCTCCAGACCTTTCACTCTGCAGTTGTTTTTGTGCAAAACCTTTACTGGTATCCATAAAAAAAAAAATAAAAAAATGTGGGGAGAGGTATGAAAGTAAAATCTATTGATGTAATATTTAAATTTTATACTTGGCGTAGAGTGGTTAGTAGGGTTTTAGGAGCGGGATAGGAGTGGTTTGCGGAGGCCTTAAAAGAAAAACTTTGATTAATTTTTATAAAACCTAAACATTAGCTTCTAAACAATACATAACTTTCTTCCTGTCAATGCAGCAGGTTTTTAATGTGATAAACTCTGCCCCATGAATGGCTGCTAATGGCTGTTATCTCCCTATTCCTTTTATAAACACATGGTTTGCTGTTTCAATATAACTTTCCCTCCTTGCTCATCCCATCCCTTAGTACAGGACCCAGATTTACTGTTGTTGTTCAGCCACACAGCGTGTGCCAGGACCGCTAACGCAGCACGCGCACAGCACTGTGCCCACTTTGCAAAGGCTGAGCTCCACGGGGCCATGGCGGCACTGAACTGCCACTACCATTTGCATGGCACAGGTGATCACTTGATGTCACCTGCGTTATCACAAATCAAACTGGTATGTTCTTGGTGTGGATCTGTCCACCGCTGTTTAACCTGGTTATCCTCCAGAGATACTTTCAGTTACTTACTGCTGAAGACGCTGAACGCTCTGTACAGCTCGATGTGAGTGAGTAGTCCTCTACTGTCATACAGAGTGAAGTTACTGATAATCTGTTTTATCACATATTTATTATCTCCTTTACATTTTGATATTAAGGATTAATGTGGCTATCATCATAAGTGAAAAGTTAAAAGTGTGCTAATTAGCATTTATAAATCATTGAAACATGGAGCTGTTTAATTAAACACAAGCAGTTTTTAAAATTAATGTTCCAATTAATAAATCACTCAGGAGAAAAGGAAAATCATCACTTAAAAAAAAATCACCTTATAATAGTGGCACTTAATCTTGTAACATTCAATTAAATGAAAGTGAGATGATGGAAAGGACAAAGGTATTGTGGAGAAAAACAATATTCAGTCACAACTGGAGTTCTTATAACAGCAACCCTCTAGTTCTTCCTTTGCACTGACCAGGACCCACGGCAGACCTACTCTGTTAATAAAAAGCAATAGTCTACGAGAACTATCATGTAAAGATAGAGATGTGATATAAGGAGAGGAAAACAGTCCCTTTTTTTTTTTTTTTTTTTTTTAATGGGGAACCCTCTCATCACAGTACATCCAAACATTCAGTGACAGTTCCCAAGAATGCAGATAAATCATCTTCCAGTGTCCCCCATCTCTGTTATAATTCATTCGTTTACTCACAGAAAACTGAGTTTTTTATAAAGGACAGGACAGTGACAGCTAACAAATGAAATTTTAATCTGAATGATTATGTTGCTTTTCTTCTTACTTTCTATCTCATTCTCCCAGCTCCAGCACCTGCAGGTTCATTCTTTGCCTCCAGAGTGAGCAAGCACTCTGGACATGGCTTCAGCCTCCTACCCCCCATCTTCAGTACAGAAAGTACAGAGGTAGAAAAATATAGCATGGAGAGTGCTGAAGTGCTTCTTAGAATACTGAAATAACTCTAATTTGGGGATGTGTATGCTACCTTCTGCTTGCTTGAAAAATTATTGCGTTGAAAAATTATAGATATCATAGAATGGTTTGGGTTGGAAGGGACCTTAAAGATCATCTAGTTCCAACCCCCTGCCATGGGCAGGGACACCTTCCACTAGCCCAGGTTGCTCACAGCCCCGTCCAACCTGGCCTTGAACCCTGCCAGGGAGGGGGCAGCCACAGCTGCTCTGGGCAGCCTGTGCCAGTGTCCCACCACCCTCACAGGGAAGAATTTCTTCCTTCTATCTAATCTAAATCTGCCCTCTTTCAGTTTAAAACTGTTACCCCTCATCCTATCCCTACACCCCCTGATGCAGAGTCCCTCCCCATCTCTCCTGCAGCCCCTTTCAGCACTGGAAGGCCACTATAAGGTCTCCCTGAAGCCTTCTCTTCTCTGGGCTGAACACCCCCAACTCTCTCAGCCTGTCCTCACAGGGGAGGTGTTCCAGCCCCTGATCATCTTTGTGGCCTCCTCTGGGCCCACTCAAGCAGGTCTATGTCCTTTTTGTGTTGGGGGTCCCAGAGCTGGACACAGCACTGCAGGTGGGGGTCTTACGAGAGCAGAGTAGAGGGGGAGAATCCCCTCCCTCGCCCTGCTGGCCACACCGCTCTTGATGCAGCCCAGGACATGGTTGGCTTTCTGGGCTGTGAGTGCACATTGCTGTCTCATGATCAGCATTTCATCCACTATTACTAAGTCCTTTTCCTCAGGTCTTCTCTCAATCCACCCTTCTCCCAGCCTGGATTTGTGCTTGGGATTGCCCCGACCCATGTGCAGGACCTTGCCCTTGGTCTTGTTGAACTCCATGAGGTTTGCACAGTCCCACCTCTCCAGCCTGTCCAGGTCTCTCTGGCTGGCACATCCCTTCCCTCCAGCATGTCGACCGCACCACACAGCTTGGTGTCGTTGGCAAACAGCTGAGGGTGCACTCAATCCCACTGTCCGTGTCACCAACAAAGGTGTTAAACAGTACCGGTCCCCATACCGATCCCTGAGGAACAGCTCTTGTCACTGCTCTTTGCTTGGGTCAGAATAAACTAATCTTGGTTAAAAGAATCCTGTCTGGATCTGCTGGCCATCAACAGAGATGTAAAAGTGAAAAGTAGGGATGCTACCTGTGCTGTATCTCCCTTCTGTGCTTGGTGCTACAGCATCATATGCAACACACTCACCCTTGACCATCTCAAACATAGCTTATACAGAGAAAAAGGAGGAGGGAGTGAGAAGGGAAAAGAGAAAATGCTGTGCTATTTGGAGTTATGAGAATTCTACTCACACTGCAACAATGAAAACTCTTGCAAAAACGCTAATATTGAGTACCTACATTTAGACAACAATGACAGTTTAATGGATTCCCTTCAATAAGAATGTTGTTAAATCATTTCACCACTGTGAAAGAGAAATGTGATACATTTTAGCCTGAGTTTTCCCTTTGCAGACTATTCCAATACTACATGCCTGCATTTCCTTTCTTTTCAGTTATCTTTAACACAGAGGCACAATCTCTTCAGAGGTACTTCAACCTTCTGCTGAAACCCAATATTAATTAATTTCATCTCAAAGAGCCAGAACCTGAGTCTCAACATGTGTTTGCAGAAAGTCTGTTTCCCCGGCCGCTGTGTATTACAGTGATGTAAATATCTGCAATATATTTTTGCTGTATAGACACAGGAAAGATGTGGGCTGAGTTGGGCACAGGAAAAGCCCACCATATATGTCATTTATTTATATCATCTATGACACAGTTGATGAATTAATATTAGGTCTCCTCTGTGGTTTATTAGAAGCATAAAGTTCTGTGAAAGGGTCAGTGCTAACTTAAAAGATTATAGTATTTAAATGATATATATAGATAGATTTCTCACTATATAGTAACATGGCTAGTGTGTCCTTAGAAAGGAAGTTTTAAGAATATGATGACATAGTCCCTCTGTAAATAATTTTAAAAGACCATAAAATATTCAGAATATTTTTCTACGACTTTTTTTATATCAGGAAAATAGAGAAAATGCATGAATGAAATGTTACCAAATTTAAAGTGTAAATCAAACTACTTAATGACATAAAATCAGAATGTAAATGGTATTATGACTGACCAATAAACCCCTAGAATGGATGATGGCAAATGGCCATGGGCAAGGGTGATATGCACAGCAAGCTCAGGAGATAAAGCAAGGGATGGCTGACCGAGCTGTTGCAAAGAAAGCTGACAATCTCAACACAAAGGGGAGTGAGAGTGGCCTTAGGTTTACATACTTGAGTGGATCCACTGACCATATCGCAGTTTTGGGGATTAACCAGTGGTATAGAAGTTTGTCCTTGCATTCATTGGGAGGACACAGCTGTCTTCCTGATTTAGCCAGGCCAGCACGGAGGGAGTGAATACATGGCTCAGCCCAATATAGAGGATAAAAACTAGACAACTAGCAAAAGAGTTTTGAAGAGAGCAACAGGCTTGAGCTGGCTTCAACCTACAAGCCTTACTGGTGACTGGGGACACCCAGCTTTGTGACGGTGAGCACATTTTAGAGACTGGTGATGGGACTCACATCAGCATTCAGTCTGAGCTGTGCATTGCAATTGCTCTATTTTGCAGAGTGTAACTTACATTTGTAGTGTGCTTTCACTATATTTTGTATCGCTGCTAAGTCAGAAATCCCCCTTAACATCAACTATCTTCAGATAGGTAAACTTGATATTAAACATTACATACTTCATGTGTGGAATATCTAAAAGAACCTGGTCAAAGAATAGTGGACTCCAACATTAATATGCTACAGAAACCAGGCAAAACATTCACCGAGGTCCTCATTTACCTGGGTATCTATCTATGCTGGAAAATGGACACAAATAATCACTGAAGGAGATGGATGAGAATAAATTCAACATACCACAGTGAACAGATGTTTCATATAAAATGACAATTAAAAATGCCTTCAAATAGCAGATGCCTTTAAAAATAACACCTAACTAATTTCTTTATTCTATACATAGTAGCACTCTACTAAAAATTTGTGATAGTATAAATCAGAAATCCAGTTTCATCTTGTGGTTTTCTGACTTGAGGGACTATGAATTACTTCTGAGGGGATTCATGAAAGGATAAGACTAAAAGAAATGCAAATTTAGTTTCTGCAGGCTTAAGCTGGCTGACCAAGGATGCACATTTCCAGTGGAAAAATTTTAAGGATTCACAGAGCTAAACAGGGGAAAAGTCACTGCTCTAGAATGCAAGATCCAAAGAATTGGAAATGCATACGTTCTCTGAATTTCCCATGACAACAGTATTTTGACAACATGATTTCCTGTGACCATATAATTTCCCATGACAACACCAAGAATTGATGACTACATTTGTTCACAAACAATATCAGATGAACAGTTTTCAAACCAATTTGAAGACACGTTCAGAACAGAGTTTTACAATGGCTGGGCATGTGTTCAGTCAGCGGCATGAGCAGTAGCCTCTACTTTTTACACACTCCTGCCAGCAGAAAAAGGCACAGCTTGTAGTAAAAGCAGGTTCAGAGAAAAATCCTTTCAGTTCCATTTCATTTCCAAAGATCTTTGTACAGCAGTTTAAGATCTGCAGGCACAGATGTTTAGTTTCAGTAGAGAAACCCACATTTCTTTACCAAAACTTTCTGTGGCAATCAGCAGCAACGGAGATGTGCACTGCAAAACCTACAATGGCTCAGATTCAGTTGGGGGATCCCAGTAAGGGAGTATTAGCTCATCATTCAGCCTCTGCGGTTGTCTTAAAAATAATTTGCTGCTTCTCTTACTGTGCGATTAATCACTTGATGCAGTTATGTCTCCTGTTGTATCTCCCATTTTTCCATGACTTGTTATAGATTTATGGTAGGTTTATGTACCACCTCCTCTTTAGTGATTCAAGAGCCAAGCAATGTCCTCATATGAACTCTGGCTTTTAGTTCAGGACTTTACCAATACTACTTATTTCCACAAAATAATGAAATCAATCTCTTATTTCTATTTCATTATTTATCTGAACTCTTTTTAAATAGTGCCTTCTCTAGTGAAGGCACTTCCTTGGATTGATGGAATTTGTGTTATTAAATCTTTTATACCATCTTGAAAAATAAAAACCAAAACCACCAGCTTCCAGATCATGTTTGTCTTTAGAAATACACTATTACAAACTCAATGACTTCTTACTCTTTTCATAAATTTTGCTGTTTGAAGTGATAAAATATAAAGCACTCTGTAGAAAATTCCCTGCCTTAGAAAATGAATGAGATTAGCTTTTTCTAAAACAAGACATCTCTGTTCTCATAGGAAAGGTGGAATGTAAAGACTGACAAGGCAACAGAGTGCACTGACTGCATGCTGAGTTGTAGCTGACCTCTCAAACAGCATTTTTGTTGGTCAGACTTCTAAAGATGCCCAAGGACAGCTACACCACAACTGCCTTCTGCATAGTTTGAAAGATAAAAGATGCAGCTTTTCTTACTGTGTTCCTCATCCAGGATATGGGAAACTTTTCTAAGGCACTTAAATTTCAAGTTGGGCTTTAATACAAAAATTGGTGCAAAAGATATACGTCAAAAGACAAAAATATCAGCTATTAGACAACTTCAAATGCTGTGAAATTAATTTTAATGTAAATATTTTGATTTAGGACCCTAAATTAACCATCTGTTATTTCTGATGGAAAAAAAACCTGTCAAAGATAAAAGCATGGACAGCTCAAATTCAGAACTCTAGAATAAGCGGGAGATCTCCATAAAACACGTTTTAGAGAAATATGCCAAGTCATATAATTATGTCTAAGCTGAGCCTTATAGGCACTTCAGCATTACTGCCCAGACAATGCTATACCTATGGCACAATATTGCAAGGCTTACTGTCATAAAGGCATTAATGAGTTTAGCATTTTAATTAGAAGTGGGGAAAAGAAGGGTTATTATGTGCCTTGATTATTCTTATTACCCTAATACCTCAAAGCTTATCCTAACAATAAGCAAATCCAGAAAATAAAATGAAAATGCACAGTGTCTTTCTCTTTCTTTGTTAACACCTATTCCTATTGCTTGGTCATGTTGCCCTTGTTACTGTCTTACAGTGACCAGGTACTAAATCATAGTCAGCTTGTGATAAAATACTTACACTCTAAAAAAATATTCTGACATTATAAGGATTTTCTGTCTGCTTCACTTGTCCTGCAAACCAGAGCCAGGAGACTCATCTTTCTGATTAAGAGAAGGACACAGTACCATGCCTACTACAGTTAACAAATTCACTCTACTTAAAGCTAACTCTAAAATTCACATTACATTTACTACAAAGGATGTGGTTTACAAAATAATAATCATATTAGGTGCCTAAACTAAGGGCAGTGTGTTTTAATAGCATAAGAATAATTACCTATTCAAAGAGAAAATGTTAGATAGTTCTGTTTTGAAAGTTTACCTCATTCTCCAACAACAAACTGCTATTTAATTGCAAATACTCATCTTTAAATTACTTTAAAATTGCTCTTCCAGTTCAACTAAAGGTCTTGATATTTTATGTAAAAAAATTTCTATTAGATACCAAATAGCTAATATCAAGATTTTTTTTTTTTTTTTAAATCTCAAACAACTTTTATTTGATGGTTTTAGTGATGGACACTACTGTTTTTCCACAAGCCTGAAGAAACTGTCTTATGGTGGTGGTTTGTACAACACCTTATGTCAGTATTTTACATTACTATCGATATTTGACAGGGAGATACCAGACACTGCTGCAGCTTCGCCCTGGACAGCTTCATTAGATTGACTGGTGCTCTGTGATGAAGTATTACCATTCAGTGGGTCTGTATTCTGTGTTTCTTGCTGGGCATCGGTGAGATCTTTCTGGTTCGGATCAGAGTTAGTGCATTTTTCTGAGTTGGATTCATCACTCAGAGGAGTGTCGAAAGAGACTACTTGTAGGACGATGGATCTGGGAGGACAGGCTGTAACATCGCTTCCCTGACTACTCTCATTTTGTATCCTTGTTGTCTCTTCCTGTAACTGTGCATCTGTGGAATTTCTGCCTTGGTCTTTTTCCTGTTCACCAACATTTTTCACAAGTTCTTCTACAAAGAGGGAACAAAATATTTGAATTAGATAAGAAGGATATGCCACAGTTGTTTGATTTCAGAGTAGTGATTGATAGAGCTGCACATGGGAACATTGTGGACATTGACTTTCTGCATGAGGACATGTGCACTGATGTGTTTGAGATGGGTCATATTCCGGCCCTGATTACACTATTGCAACTGAACCATAGTGGTCTGCTTTCTGGTTTGACCTCTAATTTGTACCTCTTTTTTTTTGGCCACAGTACAGAGCAAGGAACATCACCAGACACACCGTAAGCTGAAGGATGGGGGCACAAGGACCCCATGCTGCAGGCATGTCCCCTAGCAGTGGTGTTTACCACCACAGGACTAGGAGGAGCAGAGCTCATCAGTTCTTCAACAGAGAAAGGACATGGAGTGGAGCAGCTTGCTGGGGATGGAGGCGGCATCAGAACTGAAGGGAAGCCCTGAAGGAAGTTGGACTATCAGTCAGCAGAAAAGTCCAGAATGTCAGCTAAATACATCTGGAACAAGCTATAGCGGGTTACAGACATGCAATCAAGTACTGCTGCCATTAAGGCTAGTGGCAGATACAGAGTGGGAAGGAAGAAATATGGGGGAAACTGTGCTTCAGAGGCCAGCAACTACAGGAGAAAATAACGTCTGTGGAAGGCTCTATTCCTTGCTCTATTGCAGAGCCTTGGAGAACAATACAAACGAAATAGCCCAGAGTAAAAGGAGACAGAGCAGCACAAAAAGGTGGTACAAGGAGGAACTAGAAGATGAAGAAAACAGAGAATGGAAAACTCGTGATGGAGGGTGAAAAGTCTGATAACTGTACCATCTTCATTGAGGGCCTATTTCTCTCACTATTAGAATATTTGTTTTGTGAATTCAGATTTTAGATTTGTATACTAATATAGAAGATACAAAATACTTTCAGTTTTAAAAGTGAAAGCATTACAGTTTGAGCAATACCTGCACAAAATTGCTGCATGATATTGCATAAAATTTCTAACTTGGCTGTGCAGACTTCTTTAAGGAAAGAAACCAAGCATTCAGATATTTATTGAGTTCAACTGGCAGCTTTCTGAAACTCTGGTTGTGAGAGACCCGTCCAAATCCCAACCAAAAGTGATTGCACATGACAGCTGAAAGATAGCCCAGTCTGTAATGGCATTTCTACCACAACCAGCATTCAGCATCTTTGTCACCTCACTTTTCCGAATTCAAAGAAAGTTCCCCCTGAAGTACAATTTGGCCTGTGAAATGGGATGGAAAGGAACACCTCCAGACCTGAAGTGATGTGCAGAAGCATGGAATAGTTAAATAATTTCCTTCTTTTTTTCAGTTCTTATACTTTCTGGCATACTTAAAAAAAAATTAAAAAAATCAAGAACTTTCAAATTTGAGCAATTTCTAAATTGTGAAGACAGGTTTTTTTCCAAACTTTGGAGACCTGGGGTTTTTTGACTCCAAATCTTCTGAAACTTGGACAGGTACTCTTTTTCTACAAACTTCAAGGCAGCTCTTACAAAGAAGTGATTGGGCTAAAGACACTAAGAAATATGTATATGCAACTTGGAGCAAATCTGATGTTCAATCTAGATATGTTAATTAAAACATCTGTCACTCATGGTATAATCTACCTACCTAAGGCTTTTGTCCCAAGAAACTGATTTACATGCCATATTTGCCTCCGTATGGCCAAGCTACAAGAATTCTTCCTTAAGTTTATAAAAAGCCAAGGACAATCCAAGACAAAATATTTCAGATGCTGTTCAGATGCATCAGTAAGTTGAGGAAGCAGTGCCGAATTATAATGCCACATAAAACTGTAATATTAGCTCACACTTTTTTGACCTGAAAGATGGCAAGAACAGACAGTATTTTTCTCACAGAATGGTGTTTTAGGACAATTCTAAGCAGAATTCACATTTCTTTCAGTATAACTGGGTGACTAACCATTTCATTCTTATAAATCTCAATATTCAAGTAAGCAAAACTCACTATTATTTTTTAGTTCACAAAGCTGAGTTATCTAAACTTAAAATTGCTTACCTTCACTCCCTACAAAACTTAAACCGGCAAATGAAGATTAACAGTTTAATCAGAACAGTGATAATGGCATGTTCTTAACTCCTGTCATGCTGGCCTCTTATTTCTATGACAGTCCTTGAGATGATCTTAAGAGTGTGTATTTAAGGATAACTAAACCACAGCCAAACTCTAACTCAGGTCTATGTACATCAGATGGGTGTATGTGAAATAAGTTTACATGATTCGTGTTATTATAAAATAACGTTAGGACTTTTTAATCCATTTTCACCTACCTCAGCATATGGTTTTGCACAGTGTAAAATAAGTTTAAAATATTGCTCTTTTTATATGTATTTTTGACTGAACTGCTTTTGTATAACTGTGGGTTCGAGGGGGCAGGGTGACGCTATGTGTAAATAGCTCTCTGTTTTTTGCAAAGCCATCCCGACTCCGTGTTCTAACGGGCCGGTCCAACTGGTTCTGTTCAGTGTTGTTTACAGTTATCCGGGCCCAAGAAGAAGTTGTTTGTAAGACGCATGCGCGAAGTTTGGGGTCACCAAAAGGGCAGGCCGAGGAAGAGTGTTTACTTCATCCCACGAGCACCAGAGAGGGGCAAAAAAGACCCCAACAGACAAAGAGAGCATGAGCGAGAAAGATCTCTATAAACCCACCCTTTTCCCGGTAATCCTATGAATATGTATTAAAGGGTATAACTATGTATGAGAAGAGAGAGAATAAATTCTGAGGAGGGAATCCAGTCGGTTCGGGCCCGGTAGAGCAGGGGCTCCCGGTCCTTCCAGCGTTGTTTTTGCTTATCTTTATTTATTTATTTAATAAATTGGCAATTTTGTGTATGACTAAATTTGGATGCGATCATTTACAACAATGTAGCTTTGAAATGGAGTATCTCTGCACCGTTACACCTCCTAACATACTAGTCAAATGTCATACCTTTTGCATTTAAACTGGTATGATAGTATTTATTCCAAAACTCAGTAGAAAAGAATACATGAGAAAAATATTCTCTTATCTAAGTATGAAAAATACTGTGGAATTTTAAAACCTGTGGAGTTAAAATTACTGCTAAACATTAGTCTTTTCATGATGATAATCGTATCTCTGATTACCATTCCATGGTGATAAAATTTCAAAGTCACTCTCAGTTAAATAAGCTTGAAGAAAATTATCTTGTCCACTTGGGAGGAATTTATTCAGGTCAACTAGGAGGAGTGGCTGGTAGCTGTGAATGAGACTGAAAAGCCTCAAGTACAAAATCATCTACGACAATATTACAACTTACATTAAGACCCTCAATCCTTTTTCTTGGTATTAAGTCTCATCTGCTGGACATCTGAGTCTATGTTCTGACTTGCTTTGCTCCACGCAGCTTCAATCCCTATGAAATACACTGCCAAAAAGATGAAAAATACTGTATTTTTATGGTATGTCAGCTATTTGTGGAACATGCTATACGTGCTGGAATAATACAGAGTTCTGCTGTCCATAACAGCTAATAATTGTACTCTATATTATACAGGAACTTCTTATTGTATAGCATAATTGGCATTTTCTATAATTTCTGCTGTCCTATGATTCTGAGTTAACAGAAATATTTAGCAGTCTTTAAAGGAGGCTGAGACTAGGACAGTGACCAAATAACTAAAATTCAAGCAAGGCACTGCTAAATTAATATCACTAGTATAAGAGAAGCAGATCTGGCATGACGTTTGGACCCCTGTGCTGAACAGTAAGAATTGTCATAAATACTGTGCAGAGTCTCTGTCTCCGTCCAGCCACAAGCTGGCAGGAACCTCCAAGAGAAGGCTGCTACCCCTCACCCTGCACTGGGCTGCTGGGAGGAGCTCGTTCCTCGCCCCCTGCAGGCACACGTTGCCATGGCCAGCCAGAGACACAAGTGGGCTGTGTTCGATGAACAGTGCAACTTGACATTTGCAAAACTGACAATATATAATAAGAGTAAATAGATAAATGAGATTTATAAGACGAACAACCATCTTGGCTGTCTGGAAAACTCCCCTCTTTTTTGGGGGCGGGGTGGGTCAGTGAGGCACTGAAGAGTTTAAGGATTATCGTGTCCATTCAGGTAACAGCAGACAGAAGTGTGTTGTGCAGCGCAGTGAATTCAGGGTATGTGCCATTGTCACTGCTGGTTTTGCTCTCTGTTTTCACTTGGTAAAAGTGCTTGGAGCCAGGCCTGTTTACATATTTTCAACTGTTATTGTTTTCTTTACAAGAAGCGAAGTGTTATTCAGCAAAATTTGTGTGAGTTCATCTGTAAAATAAATGGTTTCTCTTAACTCGTCTGTTAGGGGTGATTCAATCTTATTCCTCTCTCCTGTACTTCTATGTCATTTCTGAACTTCTGCCTTAAATCACTGTCCCTCATGGGAAGCAATAGTGGCATTTGATATGTAAACATGGTAGAAGTGGTGCCTTTCTTCCCTGGTGTTTAGGCTGGGCTAAATCATTGGAAAAATCATTGCAATGCATTGTTTTCCTTGGAAGACTGGCAGGAGTCATAAGGTGTGAAATAAGTTTACATGATTCGTGTTATTTTATAATAACATTAGGACTTTTTAGTTCATTTTCACCTACCTCAGCATATGGTTTTGCACAGTGTAAAATAAGTTTAAAATATTGCTCTTTTTATATGTATTTTTGACTGAACTGCTTTTGTATAACTGTGGGTTCGAGGGGGCAGGGTGACGCTATGTGTAAATAGCTCTCTGTTTTTTGCAAAGCCATCCCGACTCCGTGTTCTAACGGGCTGGTCCAACTGGTTCTGTTCAGTGTTGTTTACAGTTATCCGGGCCCAAGAAGAAGTTGTTTGTAAGACGCATGCGCGAAGTTTGGGGTCACCAAAAGGGCAGGCCGAGGAAGAGTGTTTACTTCATCCCACGAGCACCAGAGAGGGGCAAAAAAGACCCCAACAGACAAAGAGAGCATGAGCGAGA